TATAAATATCCCTTCCTCAACATTGGGGGATGACAGGGACTCCTCATTCCCCTAACCTCCCTCCCCAAGTTGTCCATTCCTAGTCTTCATCCTATGCAAATGGTTCTTGACCCCAGGCAATCAGACAGGAGATCTCATTCATCCCTGGATGTGCACAAAGTGTGTTATCTGGCACTATCTCCAGGAACCTCCAGTCAGCACAGGAACTTACAAGGGGGCTCCAAAGAACAGATCTGAGTACAGATCCAGCTGTACTCCCCAAAACTGCCTGATCAGCTGGCTCAGATGGGAATACAGAGCGGGTATGAAGCCAGCCTGCGGCAAGGAACAATGACTCCTTAACTATGAACTTTCAAGTTTAGGTAAGTCTGGGCTCATGGTACCTGGTGCTGGAAGTACCCTCAGTGGAGGTGGCCTCCCCTGGCCGCCAGAGCTCTGGGTCTGATTAGGACTCACTCCCCCTGGTCAGAGTGGAAGGGGAAGGTGGCTGAATCCCTTTACCCCAGGGGACACATGCTACTCTCTGAGCTCTGAACCAGGGTTGCTATCTTGGTAAAGGTTTTCAAAACTCTGGTAGGCCTTGGGGTCCACCATTTCATCATCATCATGGTCATCTCTGAGCAGAGAGAGACCACTTCAGCTCTGAGGGAGGATGTTTGCCCCAGGACAAAGCAGCAACTTTTTAAAGTTCCCACTTAAAGGAAGGGAGGGAGAGAGGGAGGGAGAAAGGGAAAGACAGAGAGAGGGAGAGAAAGAGAGAAAAAGAATAAGAAAGAAAGAAGAAAGGAAGGAAAGAAAGAGAGAGAAAGAAAGAAAAAAAGAAAGAAAGAGAAAGGAAAAGGAAAGAAAGAAAAATGAATGAAAACATTTGGGGATTTGGGGGTTGGTTTTGAAGCCTTTGTTAATAGCAGCTGTCACCAAGTAAGCAACGACCATATACCACACATCATAGTTTGCTTTATACACATGATCTGATTTAACCATCACAAAGCCCTATAATAATAGTTACTGCTAGTATTCCCATCTTGCAGATGAGCAAATGGTAGGTCAGAGAAGTTGAATGACACATCCTAAGTTAGAAAGCTAAAAAATAGCTTGTTCAAAATTTGAAACTTGGCTTCCTGGCTCCCAAGGGTATGCCCATTTCACTAGCTGCTCTGCTGCTCTACCTTGTCCTTTTTCTAGCCTTGTGGGGCAAATCCTTATCACCATTTGCCACAGGACAGGTGGAGCTCTGAGGCTCAGTAAAGCTGATGAGGTTACTGTCTATGGAAGCAGAGAGGGGAGCCATCATCTCACCCATTTAAGGGTAGTGTTGAGTTTAAGAACGCAGGCCCAGAAAATAAGGAAGGCATTCAAATCAAGGGCTAGATTCTTGCTAGCTACGTGACCTTGGACTGTTACTCACCTGTTTTAGCTTTAGCCACTTAAAGGATGGAGGAATATCTAGTCTGCGCGCAATTATGAGGATCGTGCAAGAAAATGGGTGTCGAGCACAGGAGAAGTGTCTTTACCAAAAGTTCCTCTGCCTCTGCCTAAGAGGTTCAGATTTTGTTCAGATGCTCGGTATGTTATCCCAGTGAATCATACAGACCAGTGCTTCTGAACCTGGCTGATGTCAGGATTACCAACAGGAGTATAAATGCCTGGGCCCCACCCCAGGAGGTTTTGAATTAGGAGGACTGGGAGTTAGCTTGGATCTTTTTATCTTTAATAAATTCCCAGGTAATGCTGATGCACAGCCAGGTTTGGGGGAACCAATCTACTAGCATAGACATCTCAGCCACACCGGGCACGGGATTCAGGCTGGTTCCCTCTCCAAGTCCCTTTCTCACCACCAGTATCCCTTGCTCCCACCTCCTCCCGATTAGTTTGTGAGTGCTCTCCCCAAAACAAGGTCTGTATGGCTTAGCAATGAGTCAGTGACACTCAGTGTCCTATGGATCCTGTCTTTCCAGAGACCAGGGAAACCAGCACAGGCCTGCAAAATAGGATGTCAGGGTTTCTGCTCTGGATTTGCCCCCTTGTGACTCACTGGTGGTCCAGAGCCAGTCTTCAAGCCTCAGTTTGTTCACGTTCCATAGACACTTGCGGAAATCGGAGTGGCCTGTTTGGACTCTGCTTCCTTAGGAGTTTATCCACGGCACTTGACAGCTAGAGGAGAGGTGGAGGAGGACGTGAAAACTCCTGCATAATTGTGCTTTCCCATCAACATCTCATTTGATGCTCACAGGGATAGAAAATAAAAGTCAGCATCTATCTTGGCCTGTAATGTCCTCTGTTATCTGTCCCTAGCCTTTGCCTCAGTGTTATCTCATATCCATCCTTCCTTTCTGGCCTTCTTGCTGTTCTCTAAATGCTCCAAGTTTGTTCCCACTTCAGTTTTTGCACTATTTGCATGGCTCGGAATGCTTTTGCAACAGATGACCACAAGTCCATTTCCTTCTTTTTATTCGGGCCTCAGCTTACATGTCACCTGCTTAGAAAGGACTGTGCTATCAGTCACCAAATCTCAAGTGTCATCTCAGGCACTGGAACACATCACCCTATTGGATATCATTGTATTTTAACTTTCATCGTAACACTTGTTATTGCTTCTGGCTTTTCTTTTTTATTTACTTAATATGCTGCCTGTCTCCCTCCCTTTCTGTAGAACATAAGCTCCATGAAAGCACATTCTTAGTTGTCTTGTTTACTGCTGTGTCCCTAGTGCCTGTAAAGCGTTAGTGTATGTTGGTAGAATAAAGATGTTAATGAGGTTGCCCCAGCCTGAATTGTGACTTTTTAAGTTTTTTGGTCAGAGGACACTCAGGGTTCTCACAGGGGAAGTGAATGACTGTCCTAAAAGCATTGCAGGCCTTTTGTCTTCTTTTTCCATGCCCTTCCCGTAAAACCTGGCTGACACGCAAACCAAGGTGGGGTGAGGCTCCTAGGTGTGATGAAAGCTTGGAGTTGCCCCATGAATGGGGATAAGGCTGATGTGGAGGTGAGAAGGCGGAAGGACAGAGCATGCAAAGGGAGAGGCAGGCTGGGACAGGAGAGCAGGGTGTGAACCTGGCAGCAGGTGGGGGAAGGGGGTGACTTGGCTGTGTGTCAGGAAGTGTTTCCCTCCTCCCTCCCCTCGGGAGAGCCCTGACCCTAAGGTGGCTTGGTTTAGGGGAAGAAGGTGGTCAGGCAGCTGCTCGAGGGAGAACAAAGGTGTGTCCTGGGTGGCGATCATCCACAGAGGTACTAGTAATCACCCAAAAGAAGAATCGACACAGTGGCGCTTGGCCAAATAGGTGATAGGTGAGCCTCTGCCTGATACCAGTCCAACATATAGCCTCATACCTGGGGAGAAGGGAGAGAAAAGAGGCTTCTAAGGGAACAGAGTAGTCAAGAGAGAATGCTTAGTGATAATAAGATAACAGGTTACATTTACTGAGGGCTTATAATAATAAGCCTGGCAGTGTACTAACTGCTTTATATATATGTTTCTTTGTAAAGTCTTTATTTATTTAAAATTTTTTATGTTTTATTTATTTCTGAGAGACAGAGAGAGACAGTGAGTAGGGGAGGGTCAGAGATATATATAGAGAGAGAGATACCGAATCTGAAGCAGGCCCCAGGCTCTGAGTCAGCTGTCAGCACAGAGCCCAACGTAGGGCTTGAACCCACAAGCCATGAGATCATGACCTGAGCCGAAGTCGGACGCCCAACTGACTGAGCCACCCAGGTACCCCCTCCTTTTTTTTTTTTTTTAAATTAAGTCTTTACTTTTTTTAAGTTCAAGATCAATCAATAAGTGACAAGGTCAGGATTCCAACTTAGACCTGTAGTGATCCCAGGTAGTGGTTTCCATAGCGTTTCCTATGGAAACCTAAGCCTGGAAGGGGTATCTAGGGGCAAGTCAAAAGGGCAGACCCCCACAAAAGCGGAGATGGAGAGACAGTGGGATAGTCTGTGTATAAATAGGAGGCCTGTTTTTATCCCTACACATGGGCTGAATCAGGCAAGCAGCTCTGTCTGGCACAATTTGAGGGCTCTGAATGCCAACCCACCCCTGTGTCATACAACTCTCTCCCCACTGAGTCCCTGGGAGCTGAAATATCTACTAGGAAAGTAATTTCTTTGGGTCAGGACACTGACTACACAAGACCCCTGTAAAAACACACAGGTTGGAAGAGAAACACATTCATCTCCTGGCACCTGTTGAAAATAGCCACCTAGGCTAGCCAGCTGAGTCCTGTGGGAGAAGCTCTCAGTTTTTATGTTGGAGAAGAAGGTGGTGTTCCAAGTCAAAGAAAAGTACGTAGCTCACTGAACAACCACTGTCTTTCCAATCCCGGAAGCCTGGGAATTATAATCCATAGCTCAAAAATCTTAATGAAGACTATATCCCCCGGGGAGAAAGATGGAGGGAAGCCACTCTAGCAGCTGGAAGAATACTAACTTCCTTTGTTTTTGCTGGATTGATACCAAGTGCCTGCAACTGCAACTCTGGTTACTTTGGGCTCATGAGACCTGCTGGCATTCGTGTGTCTAATTTTTTTTCATGCATCTAATTTTTAAACGATAAAATGAATTAATTACATTAATTATCATTTACTATTTGCTGTATTGCTAGGCAAAGAAGGGACACAGAAGGTGACATGGGTACAGATTCCTGGTTTGGAGCAGGGATGCCTGGAGGAACCAGGCCTGAAACAAGCGAAGGAAATGGGGTGTCCAAGGACAGAGCACAGCACAGCATTCATAAGGCTGCAGCACGACAAGCGTTTGGGGAAAGGTAGGAACTGGTCCCCGCCACCTGCCGGTCAGTAGCACTACCCACAGTCTGGCGGCGGCCGCCCTGGCCTCTTCCCAAAATATGTGAGCGCCGCCCCCTACTCCCGCCCCCTTCCCCCGCCGCGCCCGCGGAGTCGGGGGCTGCGGGGGTTGCGCGGCCGGCGCCGGGAGCCGGGCGAGCGGCCCAACGCGGGAGGGGGGAGAGGGCGGGGCGGAGCTTCGTCGCCTCCCGGAGCCTTATTCCCAGCCGCGCGCCAGGAATCGTTCAGTCGACCGAGGGACCTGCGGGCTGCGCGCGGCTGGCCAACCTAACCGAGACGCAAGGGCTTGGGCAGGCGGACTGACTGAACGATCCGACAGACGCCCGGCGGCCGCCGGCTCCACGCAGGTCCCAGCCAGGCTTGCACCCAGAGGCCCGCAGCAGACCGTACCCGGTGGAATCTCCTGCGCTCCGCCCGCCCGGGCTCCGGTGCCAGCGCCCCGTGGCCGCCGCCTCCAAAGTGATTGCTGCCTCGCCGCCTCCGCCGGGTCCAGGACCATGAAGCTTCTGCCGTCGGTGGTGCTGAAGCTCTTTCTGGCTGCAGGTGAGAGGGCTGCCTACGCCTCCGGAGGTCAGGGGGGTTGGGGACACTGCTGGGACACGGGGGAAGGTCGCTGCGGCGACCCCAACGCGGGCCACTTGGTGGGGCCCGTGCTCCCTGGCAGGCGGGCGCCAGCATTGGCGCGTGGTGACCGGAGGGTCTGGAGAGGGGGTCTAATGCGGCCTTGCCCCTCACCCGCAGTGCTTTCGGCGTTGGTGACTGGCGAGAGCCTGGAGCGGCTTCGGAGAGGACCGGCAGCTGGAACCAGCAATCTGGACTCTCCCACTGAATCTACAGACCAGCTGCTGCCCCTGGGAGGCAGCCGGGGCAGGGAAGCCCTGGACTTGGAAGAGACAGACCTGGACCTTTTCAGAGGTGGGTGTGAGGGCCACCCATCCTCGGACCCTAGTAGGCAATTGAAGAATAAGCAGGTCTAGGATTCATGATGTTTGGGCACTCTTATGGGTTGGAGGTATATATGGAGGACTTCAGGGAAAAGCTGCGGGGCCTGACAAGTGTACTGGGGGATCCCGAAAGGTGGGTCCCGCGGTCTTTCTTGCTGTTGAATCTCACATGCCGAGTTGCTGCCCTTCTGGGTGCTTTAGGGCAAATTGAGAAGGCGGGGTGTCCTAGGTCTGGTACATTCCTCTGGGGTAAGCTGGAGTAAGGAACAAGGAATGGTTGTTGCTTTCCCTAGAGTTTCTACATAACAATGGGTGCAAGTCTTAATTCCTACATCAAATGACTATAATGTATAAAATGACAGAGTTGGAGATCCTAGGAATATAGTAGGTATGTAGTCTTCTCCATTCACCTGTCTCCAGGTTGGAGAAACAGAGAGGAATGAGGAACACTTGGCCCCCCAGGTGAGGCCAGCACCTACTGGGGAGGCTGTGAATGGTGGGCACTGAGTCCTTAGGGAGATATACAGAAATGCTGTGTGTCTACAAATCCTACCCAAGGCCTGGAGACTTCCTGACCATGCTGAGTCCCTGAGACAGACTCCAAGGGAGGAAAGGGCCAGGTGGGATCCTCTAACCGGCAGATGTGGCTGTGGTTGAGTACTGGCACAGGGCAGAGTCCAGAGTCTCCAGCTTTGCCCACTGTCCTGTCCCTAGCCACCTGCAGTGATTCCTCAGGGTGGAGCAGGGGCTGAGCCCTGGGGCCCAGAATTACTATATTTGATTGGAAAGATACCCACCTGTTGTAGCCCTGCCACTCGGCTGGCTCCTCAGCCACCGTTCCCCCTTCTTACTCAGAACTTCCCTCAGGTGCTGTGTCTGCTTTGTATGGATCAAGGGTCGGCTCCAAAGCTGAGCCTGGGCTTCCACCCTTCATCCCCTCACAGAAGCTTCTTGGGCCACCCTGGCCGGAACAACCTGGATTCTCCTGGCCCTCTCCTCCTAGGCAGGGCAGAGCTGGGCTGTGACTCACCTTCCACCCACACGGCTGCTCCTCATACCTCTGCAGACCTGACTCACTGCTCCCTGTCCCTGGCAGGAGCCTGGCTGTCACCCTGTCACTCTCTTCCTCCCCTCTCTGATTGACTTGGCCCTCCTGCCATAATTTCACCACAGCTCTGGTCACTTGGTTCCTCTGAAGATCTGCCTCACCTTCTGAGCTCTGAAGGGGCTTGGGTCTGCACCCGAGGAAACTGAGGGCCGTGGGACTACCCACCTGCCTGCTTTCCCTTCTCTTGGCTTTGCCAGGTGAAGTCTGAGGGTCCTGTCATCTCCAATGAATAGCTATTACCATTTATTAAGTACGTACTGTGTTTTAGGCACTCATTATGCTATTGTGGGCTAATTAATGCTGTAGCAATCCTCTCAGATTGAACTCCTGCTATCCACTACTAACTAATAACCCCAAGGTTCAGAGATTAAGCCATTGGCCCCAGATCATAGGAATGAAATTAGAGCACAGATCTGCTGACTTCAGAGCCCATTCATTGTTTCATTCCTGGTTCAACATCCCAGGTGCTCTAAGCTTGTCCAGGGGAAGGGACAGAGCTGTATTAGGCAGCTTGGTATATTGGGAAAGAGTACTGGGTATGGAGTCCAGAGACCGCATTTCTGATCTCAACCCTGTGTGACCTTTACCAAGTCACTGCCTTTTGGGACCTCAAGTTTTTTATCTGAAAATATAAAGCCATGGTATTCTTTCTTTTTTACATATATATAATTTTTAAAAATACTTAGTTCTTTTTGAGAGAGACAGAGCAAGCGAAAGTGGGGAGGGGGAGAGAGGGAGACAGAGGATCCGAGGCAGGCTTCGCATTGCGAGCACAGAGCCTGATGTAGGGCTCGACCTCACGAACCAGGAGATCGAAACCTGAGCCAAAATCAAGAGTCGGCCGGCCGCTCAACTGACTGAGCCACCCAGGGACCCTGATGATATTCTTTCAAGTCATTTCCAGCTTGAGGATCCTGGGTCTCTAGTCTAATGTATGATGCCCATCCTTCTGCCAGACACATGGCTACAGCCATGGAGAGTGGGCACCTTTTTTTCAGCTGGGAGCAGGGGACAGGGGGACTGGCGTCAGACCCCTGATGAGTTGATGGGCGTAGCCCACAGTCAGTCCCGGCTGGATGTTTGTGTGAGGCTATTTTTCCCCCTTTGAAGTGTGGAAAGAATGGGGGGAGTCATCATTGTTCCAGTTCCTTCTAGATAGTTCCTTACTTTCCATCTTTCTCCCCCTTGTATACACCATACTCCCCATCCCAGAGAGCTATAAACAGGACATTTGGGGATAAACGTAAATAGACATTTGAGAGAAGTGGTGAGCTGCAAAGGGCACAAAGCAGGGTAAATATTCTGCTTGAAGTCAAAAAAGCAAGGCCCTCACCAGGGATGGCCTGCTTGCAGTCCCCAAGTCCGGTTCTGGCCTGAACTCATGGTACCCTGGTGCTAATGGGTGCCTCAGAGGGGACCACCTGGACATGGCCACTGTTTTTATTTTAGGAGCCGACCCCCCCCCCAAAAAAAAAAAAAAACCTTCCAAGTACCTTCTCCAGAAGCAATTTTTATCTCTGACACTGTCTTCCTGCAAGTGGGTCGCTGAGTGCAGCATCAGGAAATGAGGCTGATTTAAGGCCAAAATAGAACCAAGTGGGCGTGGGGGAGTAGATGGGGATGGACAGTGGGGTGGGGGTGAGCTTGGTAGAATTGCCCAGTCAGCTGCAGTTGCTCAACAGAAGCTAGCATTGTTAAAATGAAGTTCTTAAACTGAGTTTGTGAAATGTCTTCCCTTGGGACCCCTGTAGCCTGTACTTCCTCCTCGGCTTTCTGGTTGTTCTGCCCAGTCTTCCTTTAGCCCCTGGGAGGCACTCAGCCAAAGGGTCTACCCAAGGCTTCTCGCTTCAGGTGGGGTCACAGAGTATGTATTCCATCCAGACATGTGGAATTCTTTCCCCCAGGACAGTAAAAAACTTAACCGGGTACTTTTCTCCTGCAGCTGCTTTCTCCTCCAAGCCACAGCCTCTGGCCACACCCAGCAAGGAGGAGCGTGGGAAAAAAAAGAAGAAAGGCAAGGGGTTAGGGAGGAAGAGAGACCCTTGTCTTCGGAAATACAAGGACTTCTGCATCCACGGAGAATGCAAATATGTGAAGGAGCTCCGGGCTCCATCCTGCATGTAAGTGTCCCTTTCCTGGGCTGACTCTCCTCAGCACACTCTTTGTCAGTCACGTGGCTGTTCCTCGTTGTCACTGTTCCTTGAATTCATAATTCTACCCAGTTTCTTCTCAATCTTGAGGCGGAAGTTGGGAGGAGGGGAAATATTTTTAGTCAGCGGAAGGGGCTCTCCCCCGCATAGGATGTAATTTCCTGTGGTGTAGGTCTGTGACGCTCTTTCATCCCTGGGGACATTTCCTGCTTGCTCAGACATGAGCATGTGGCTAGGAGAGCTGATACCTGCAGGCAGGTCCTTCATTTGTACCTCCTGCGCTACTCCAGATGGGGGAAGCCAGTGGGACACATGGCAGAGTAGGCTTTCTGGGTGGAGTGGAGCTCCTGTGGCCTCCTTTCCTGAGCCCTGCAGACAGATATGAGGTGCAGTCAGACTCACAGTGTGCAAATGTGTGTGTTCGGACATATGTCCGCTCATACGAGTGAACACATGTGGACTGATTTGAAGGAATGGTGGGACTATACAGAAAGTGATCATAATGGGAGCAGGGAGAAGTCCCTCCTCTCTTCTTTCTTATCCCAACAAGGGCCAGGAGGTGGGGGGACATGGTAGGTATTGGCCTTTGGCCATGGGAGTGGGAGAACACTTCCTTTGTGCAAGATTAACAGAAAAGGAACCCAACCCGGTAGACATCAGCCCTTGGCCAGGCAGCACCACCCCTTTCCTGGGTGGAAGGGCTATGGGTACCCCAGCTATTCTGCTAGGCCAAGCCCAGCAAACGGCTGCCTTGGCAACCCCTCAGGGATGACGGCACAACCATGCTTTCTGGCAGGCATAATGTCGCCACTGTGCCCGCGGTCAACACCCACATCAGACTACAAACATCCACTCTTCTTCTGGGCACAAAGTCCCTATAGAGGACAGGCTTTGTGACCTGGGACACTCTGGACAGGGCCAGGAGATGGTTAGGTGCACACCACCTCTCAACTAGTCAAGAAGGCTGACTGCCTGGCATCTCTTCTATTGTGATTGGTACTGATCCCTTGGCTTTTTAAAACTCCCTTGTCCTGTCTGATCTTACATAACAAAGCTACCCTATATTTGGCAATTGGCAAGACATCACTCTCTACCATGTCCATGACCACTTGTGTGTCCTCTCCTATAGCATCCTTGTCAAGAGCTTGGTATTGGAGGGAGTTGCTTTAGAGTAACATAGACAGTCCCCATATTATTCTTCCCAAGGTCTTGGGATAGGTAGGGTATATTCGCCTTAAATTTGTAAAATGCTGTCATTAGCACAGGGTGGAGGCAGTGACTCTGAGGGTAGTCAAGACGGATTGAGGCCAGGAATCTGATTGGGCCAAAATGATCCAGAGCTTTGGTGGATGGTCTTCCACTGCTCAGCTGAGAACCTTCATAAGGCTGCTGTTCTGGAAGGCTGGGCTTGACCCAGCAGCTAAGGCCAGTAGATAAGAATGCCCAGAGCCAAAGGAGCCGTAGGAATAGTGATGATAATCATGATGATGCCTTCTCTCCTTTGCCCCATAACTTCACTATTAACATTTAGTATGAGCTGAGCCCAGCAGGTATGTGTTGAGTCTCCACTTGGTGCCAACTATTCTAGGAGATAGGGAATTATAGTCATGTCCTGGGTTTCTCAAAAGCCCTAGGGAAGTTGGCAAGGGCTTGCTATCTCTAGTTGAGAGGTGAGCAAACTAGAGCCAGGAAGTAGGAAGTGATTTGCCTGAGATCAACAGCTAAATAAGTGATGGAAACAGGACGGGGATTCAGGTGCCTGACTTCCAGTCCAGCATGCTTTTCATGCCCCCAGGCTGTATTGAGTGTTGGCCTGTGTCCTTCTTCCCTATCTGTCCTTACAGAGTTTGAGTATGATTTTATAGAGGACAGCTGTTATGTTAGAGGTCTCTTAAGGCTTTTACTAGCCTAAGAGCGTACCAGTCTGATTTGAAGACTTTGGCTCTGCTTCCTAGGCAGATTTTCAAGGGGATGGATTCAGTGTCTGGTTTGGCTGCCCCCTCCCTCCAGCCTTTGGCACTCGGGGCAGAATGCAGCAAGAAGACACAGAGCTCCTGGTCTGGGCAAATGTGATATCTGGTCACCTACATTTGGGGCCCTTTGTTGTTCCTCCTTCCTTCTAGACCCAGGAACCACCAGCTAGGGTGTGTTGAGGCTGCCCTTGTGAGCTTGAGGCTAACTGGCTTCCTAAACCAGTCCTCTACAGCCACCATTCACAGGAAAGCCCTTTCATGTCCCCAGCTAAAAGTTGCCCTCAAAGAGCAATTTCCTGGGGTTCCTAACTAGCTGCTGACCCAGCAACTGGCTGCAAAATTTCCTGTGGCTGGGGGAAACCTGGGGGGCAGTCAGGCTGAGGAGAACTCAATTGGAAGAGAGACAGGTCTGGAGCCTCCCATTGGCCTCACTGGCCAGATCCTAAAAAGGAATGGCGAGCCCCCTTCTCTTTGGCTCCATCTGACTTTGGTGCCCGATAACTCAGGGCAGTACCCTCTGGAGTCTAATTATATAATAAGTCACACTTTGGTGAGACTTGGTCTTTTATTAAGTGATTTTATCTGTATGTTCTCATTTGATCTTCAAAATATGCCATTGAGGTGGTATTTATTATTCTTGTGTTTCACATGAGGAAACCAAAGGTTAGAAAGGTAAAAGTAATTTGCTCAAGATCACCTGGCTAGAAATAGCGGCAGGACTCATCTGGAACTCATGTATTCTGACTTCCAAACTAGAGAAACCCAGTTTGGAAGATTTCTCTAGACCCTAGAGAGTTCTTACTTCTATTGTAACACAAGTTCTGAAATGGGTCACAAACATTGATAGGAGGAGCACGTTCCAGTTTGGTGGGTTGCTGGCTCTGGGCAAGACACATGATCTTGCCCCCACCCGGCATGCAGGGAACATACTCATTCCCCCTCCTTCCCAGGGGAAGCCAGGAGTCATCTGCAAAGGGAGGGGGAGGTGGGTAATATTAGGATGTTTACATTATTATCCTTTTGACTCAGGGTGGGGGTGGAGGGATTATGTAACTGAATTGCGGGACTCTGAGGCCAAGCTTTATTTCTATCATCTGAGTAACTACCTGTGGGGTTTGAGTGATGGCTGAAAGTGAAAAACAGACTCAGCTTCGGCTTCCCTTCCCCTGGGAGAGCACAGTTTCTGAAGTCATCTAGACTGCCGGGTTGAATCCTGGTCCTACCACTCACTAGCATTGTAACCTTGAGCAAATTAGCTAAGAACTTAAGCCTCAGTCTCTCCATCTTTAAAATGGGGATAGTAACTCCTACTTCACAGAGATGTTTTTAAGATTAAATGAACTGATTCTTTTTAAAAGTTTATTTATTTATTTTGAGAGAGAGGCAGAGAGAGGAGAGAGAGAATCCCAAGCAGGCTCTGCACGGTCAGCATGGAGCCCGACACGAGGCTCAAACCCATGAACCACGAGATCATGACCTGGGTCGAAGTCAACAGTCAGATGCTTAACTGACTGAGCCACCCAGGCGCCCCTGAAATGATTCTTATAAAGCAGTTAGCACAAGTACTTGGCTCACATAAGCCTTTAATATTTGCTATTCATTATTCAAGTTAATAATAATAATAGTATAAGTCAAAGAGGAGGGTAAGACAGCCCCAGGAACCCATCACCTCATCAGATATGTGTTTCCTTGGGGTAACCTGCGCTGTTCAGAGTAGAAAGAATCATGAATTGGAATCTGCTATGACTGGTTTCTAGTCTTAGCCTTGTTGCTTTTTAGTTGTGTTACTTTTGGCAAATCACAATCCCCCTGACCCTTAATCTTACTCTTTCAATCTGTAAAGTGTGTCTGTACCTGTCTACCAGATGTTATGAGTCTCAGTTGAGCTATACTTACCTAAGGATAGTGTCTTATAAACTGTAAAGCGCCGTGCATTAAGTGATTTCCCAAGGGCACTCCTAAGAGCGTCTTCCGTATCCTAGCAGAGTGAGGGTTGCTGTTTTGCCCATCTTGGCTGATAGAACAGATTAGATTCATGGAGAGGCTGGACTGTGTGCCTTGCTATGTGTATATGGCCCTGACCCACATTTATTCTGCAGTGAGGTGGTTCCCCAAAGCACCCAGGAGTAGCCGGGGCAGGGAGAGGTGCTTGGTACTCCGCAAGCACAGCCTGGCTCATCTGGGGCTGCCTGGTCTGGAGAGGTCCACTTCCCAAGTGCCACCCGGCAGAAGGAAGGGATTCCTTGCTCTGAGGCACCATATGCATAACCTACTTCCCAGGAAGTAGGGCCACCAGGTTCTAAGTTCTTCCTTCAGCAAGCTTATGGCTTAAAGTCCCCAGGCAGACAGTGCCAGTGCAGTTGGGGGTGTGATTGGGGAGCAAACTGAGTTCCGAGTCAGAAAAACCAAGACCACACCTCTGCTCTGCGGAGTGACCACGGGGAAGAGAGCTCTGCTTTCCTCTAACATGGGGTTCCACCTACATCAAAGGGCCTCTCAGGCGCTCGGATAAAGAAAGGGACATGAATGTGCTTGTTCAGCTGAAAGTGCTTCTGAGTCTTCCTAAGAGCTTCCAGGAAATGCTTTATGTCAGAAGAGGCAGCCACCATCTGACTTATTCTTGAGTGTGAAAAGCCAAGGGGTTGTTTCTGACATTCCTTCATGCTCTGGCAGGACAGCTGGGCGAGAAGATGTTACCTTGGTTTGTTTGCTTTGTCCTGTGATGAAGGAGGCCAGAGAGTCCAGGGTTCAGAGGCCAGAAGTTAATGTTAAGCGCTCAAATTGAGTCCTTCACCCATGGGGAGCTGGAAGTTAAATAGAGGGAACTTGAGAAAAATGACTCCTGGCAAAGGAACAGGACCTATTAATAGGCTGGGCCGTGGCTGAGAGGGACTGAGTGCTGGAAGCAGTGGTGGAGAAGCCTGCGTTTATTTCTGGGTCAGAGTTGAGGGGCCTCACTGGAGGGAGTGGTACTCAGTCCCCTCAACACAACCCACCAGCTCATGGGCCTAAATCTTCTGAAGGGCTTAAACAGAACCTCTTAACACACATGTAATAAATCATCTACACATGGAACATATCTAGCTAAGACCTTCAAGTCCTCCTTCACTTTTTCCCTGCCTGGAGTGGGAATCTCGAGCCAGAGAACCAGAGGGAATGGAGAAGGGGGTGAGGAGTTGGGAAGGAAGGCCATGGAACTTTCAGAAGGGCTTTTCAAAAGTCTTTTACTAGGGTCCCACTAGAAGGATAGAAGAAGGTCAGGGATCACCGTCAGGGATTAATAGGCTGAGGCTGTGAGAACTGGGGTTTGGCTTAGAGAAGATGGGCCATTGCCTATAGAGAGAGGCCAAACCACTAACCTCATCTCTGTTTTGTTCTCTTAAACCAGCTGCCACCCAGGTTACCACGGAGAAAGGTGCCATGGTCTGAGTCTCCCGGTGGAAAATCGTTTATATACTTATGACCATACGACCATCTTGGCTGTGGTGGCCGTGGTGCTGTCGTCTGTCTGTCTGCTTGTCATCGTGGGGCTTCTTATGTTTAGGTGAGTATTGAGGGCCCCTACAGGCTGTTCTGCATATCACTTCCATTCCTCCTCCTGAGTCTTCTGTCTGTGATCCCATGAGCTCTCCCACCTCCCAAACTCCAGGCTAGGAATCTGACTGATATTCCTGAGTATACCTTCTCTCAGAACCTAGCTTCCCTGGCATGACATGAATCCAGTGTCCAGAACACGGCAAAAATTGTGAGGCCGTAGCAGGTCCTGCTTCTCACAGCAGGCCCAGTAACCCATCCACGGATCCACCTCTTCACACAATTCTTTCTCTTTATCCTGTTCTTTGACGGCATTAGTGTGCGGTTTGATAGACAAAGCATGAGTGGTATACGGCTATTGGTATATCCTTCTAATTCTGAGGCATCTTGACCCCAGGCCATGTTTCTAGTCCAGGTTATGTTTTAGGCTGAGGGAGACCTACCAAGCACTCTGTCCCTGTTTTCAAGCAGTGCAACTTATCTGTTGTGAGACCTGGACCAAGTTACCTGTCTTTCTGAGGGTTATAATCTTACAGCGATTGTAATCTCTGTCTACCTACCTCATCAGGATGTTGTGAGGATCCTGTAAATAGGTGAAAGTTCTCAGCAAATTATAGCCTTCACTGTTACAGACAGGCATTCCTTGGGGGCAAGTTGGGCCTTTGACCAGAGGTCTGTTAGGCTACCATTCCCTCTTGGCTTTTCCAAGTAATGGACAGAACAACCATGGCATTGTCCTTTAGAAGGAACTTCTCTGGGACCTACATGCTATAAAGCAGGCAAATCTTACTCAAAACACTTGTCTCCTTCAGGTACCATAGGAGAGGAGGTTATGATGTGGAAAATGAAGAGAAAGTGAAGTTGGGCATGACTACTTCCCACTGAGAGAGACCTGTGCTCAAGGTAATGGTCGTCCTTTGCCCACTGCCACCATCATCACCTTTCCTAGATCTATTTCAAGGCATGCTGAATTCTTCTCTTGATCTAGGGGTTGGGGAGCAGACAACTGTGGTGGAGTCAGGGTCCCCTTGCAGAATGGTTTTCAAAAAGGTTTTCAGTAGGGGCACCTGGGTGGCTCAGTTGATTAAGCATCGGACTCTTGATTTTGGCTCAAGTCATGATCTTGCAGTTTGTAAGATCAAGCCCCAAGTTGGGCTCTGCTCTGTCAGGATGGAGCCCACGTGGGATTCTCTGCCTTCCTGTCTCTTTGCCCTTCCCCTGTTCACATATGCTCTTTCTCCCTCTCAAAATAAATAAATAAACAACAAAAAAGTTTTTGTATTTATTTTGAGAGACAGAGAGAGTGTGTGTGTGTGCATGCACAAGTGGGGGAGGAGCAGAGAGAGAGGAAGAGATAGAGAGAATCCCAAGCAGGCCCCACACTGCCAGTGCAGAGCCCAATGCCAGGCTCGAACCCACAAACCATGAGATCATGACCTGAGCTGAAGTCAGCCGCTTAACCAACTAAACCACCCAGGTGCTCCCCAGCAAAAAGGTTTTAAATGGGTCATCTCTGCTTGGGGTGACAGTTGCCAGAGAAACATCCAGGAGAGATGCCTGACACAGCAGCATCTCCCATCTTTGTCCCTTCTTCTGCCCCTTCGCAGATGGTCTTCCTACTTCCTGAGACTGGACCTGGGAAACTCTTAAGACCTATTAACTGGATCCAGCTTTAAATGCCTTCCTCTTGTGCTTTAGGAATCTGCTGGGGACTGCTACCTCTGGGAAGACACAGCTGATCGTAGACTCTGCAGAGGGAAAGAACGTCACAGCTAGTCAGGAAGATTCCTTCATCCCCAGTTGCTATCTAGATTGGGCCTCATAATTGCTTTGCCAAAATGCCAGAGCCTTCAAGTGCCAAACTGAATATGTCAAAATGGGATTTTGGTCAGAAGAAAGCAAAAGTGAGAGACCTTCATGCCCTTCTGAATCTCCTCCACCAAACCCCACTTGTCCCCATAAGTTTGTACACTTAACTTCTGGATTGAGATGCCAGTTAAATTCCATTTGCTCCAGGATCTTTGACTGATAGAAAAAAAAAAAAAAGAAGAAGAAGAAGAAGAAGGAGAGGAAGAAGGAAAGATTTGTGGATTGGAAGAAAGTAATAAAGATTGAGAAGCCATGTACTCAAGTAGCCACCAAGGGATCTGCCATTTGGACCCTCTAGCGCTAGATTTGATGAGCTAACTGTGAAATACCACAAGCCTGAGAACTCTGAATTTTGGGACTTCTACCCAGATGGAGAAATAACAACTATTTTTTGTTTGTTTGTTTGTAAAATGCCTCTTAAATTATATATTTATTTTATTCTATGTATGTTAATTTATTTAGTTTTTAACAATCTAACAATAATATTTCAAGTGCCTAGTCTGTTACTTTGGCAATCTCCTGGCCCTCCACCTTGTATACCCCACCATCTGGCTCAGCCTCACACCCCTCTGCCACAAATCTGAGATGGTTCTGTGACCCATCTGTAGTCATCTGTTATCTGTCCACATTTCCGAAGACCTTCTGCAATCACAGTGCCACAGGGGGAGGTCTGTAGGTCAGGATACAGGAGTTAACTTTGTCAGATCCACTCTGTGAGTTGGACTGCAGTCTTGCCTAGGCGATTTTGTCTACTGTTTGTGTTTTGAAAGTCCAAGGTGCTGATGTCAAAGTGTAACAGATACCGGTGTTTCCCTGTGTCCTCTCCCTGCCAAATCTCTAAAGAGGTTGGGCTTCCAGCTTCCAGCTTTCCTGGCTCCTCACCACCCCCTGGCCCCAGGCCCACAGAGTGGGCACTCCCTCTTCCCTGTGTCAAGACATTTCTCTTACTCCTGTCATTCTTCTGGTGCTACTCCATGCAGCGGTCAGTGCAGCAGGGGATGATCTAGAGAAGGTATTAGCAAAGAAAAAGGCTGAGGAGGAACAGGAAACATTGGAGCTGACTGTTGTTGTTAACTGATAACCTACCAATTGCTACAGAGTTTGGAGGTGAGGAGAGTTTTTGCGTAAATCGACCCACCTCACCTAAACTGAAAGGTATGCTGTCATGATCCCTTCTGGAAGTTTCTGGTGCCATTTCTGAACTGTTACAACCTGTATTTCCAAACCTGGTTCATATTTATATTTTGCAATTCAAATAAAGATAACCGTTACTCCATAGACTTCTGTCTGCTTGTTTTAATGGGGAACTGGTCTAACATGGATATTTCCTAAGCCTTGACTCGATATTAGGCTCTATGCCAGGTCTTTTTATTTTTATTTTTTAAAATGTTTTATTTATTTTTGAGACAGAGACAGAGCATGAGAGGGGGAGGGGCAGAGAGACAGGGAGATACAGAATCTGAAGCAGGCTCCAGGCACTGAGCTGTCAGCACAGAGTCCAATGCAGGGCTCGAATCCACGAACGTGAGATCATGTCCTGAGCCGAAGTCAGATGCTTAACTGACTGAGCCACCCAGGCGCCCCTAGGCCTTTTATTTTTTTAATGTTTTTATTTATTTCTGAGAGAGAGAGAGAGAGAGTGTGAGCAGGGCTGGGTCAGAGAGAGAGGGAGATACAGAATCTGAAGCAGGCTCCAGGCTCTGAGCTGTTAGCACAGAGCCGGATGCGGGGCTCAAACACACAAACTGTGAGATCATGACCTGAGCCGAAGTCGGACGCCCAACCAACTGAGCCACCCAGGCGCCCCAGGCCTTTTTTAAATAAATAATTTATTTATTCTTTGATTTACGTCCAAGTTAGTTATCATATAGTGCAACACTGATTTTAGTAGATTCCATAATGCCCCTTACCTGTTTAGCCCATTCCCTGCCTTCAGCAACCCTGTTTGTTCTCTATATTTAAGTCTCTTATGTTTTGTCCCCCTCCATGTTTTTATGTTATTTTTGTTTCCCTTTCTTTATGTTCATCTGTTTGACATCTTAAAGTCCTCATGTGAGTGAAGCCTTATGATACTTGTCTTTCTCTGACTAATTTCGTGTAGCAGCCAGGCCTTTTTATGTATACTGTCTCAGTATCCCTGACAACATTTTGATGGAGGTACTATCATCGTCCCATTTTTCCAAAAGAGAAAACTGAGGCTCTTGGTCAGAAGAAAGCAAGAGTGGGAGCTCAGAGAGATGATGTAACTTGCCTGAAGATACACAGTTGGTAAGTGACAGAGTTGGGACTGGCAGTCTGATTCCAATTATTTGTCTTAATGCTTATATCATACTGCCTCTGAGACAACAGAAAACAAACCTTTCACATAGGGAGCTTGGCTGGCTGTTGATGCACACCCATTCAGTCAACAGACTCTGGACTCAGGGCCTGGTCCTGTGGTGTATATGCAAAGAGGCCTTGCCCCTGGTGGAAACAAGGCACCTTTGACTTCTGTCTCATGCTGGACAGCATCTATCAGCAGACCTTTATCTATCACTCCTACATTTAGAATATATGCTGAATGCAGCTGTTTCTTCTCACTGCTCCTACCATCACCCCATGTCCAATTCACCATCATCATTTTGCTTGAACTCTTGCAATGGCCTCTGTCTCCTTTCTTCCACCTTACTCCCATATAGCCCATTTTCGACATAAAAGCCAAAGATCATGTAAAACAAAATCTAGATCTCATCTGCATTGCAGGCTTTCCGGGGCTATTAGACAGTAGCACATTCCTTGGCCACGCTGTTCTTATTCTCCTTACATTGCTTTCTTTTCCACCAGAGCCCTTATCACCAGTAAGATATTTGTTTATTGTCTATCTCTTCCTGCTACAGCACTAGCTTCATAAAGGTAGGGGTGGGTATGTTGCTCTGATCCCAGATTCTGAAACAATGCAATTGAGTTGTAGGCATTCAATATCTGTCAGTTGGGTGAGCAAATAGAAGAAATGACTAAAATCCAGTCAAAGGCCAGCAAGTGGACAGGTGCGTGATCCAGTGTTGACCTGGAAGTGTGGTTGTGTTGAAAGAAGGGCCTCTGTTGGGGAGGGTGGATGGGGATGACAGGATAAAAGTGGAATCTGGAGCAGATCATCTGACCACGGTGTCCTGGGTAGATTGGAGGCAGAGAGATCCATGGGGAGGTCAGATAAGCACCACCGGACTGCTCTTTCCTCATTCTCTTCTTTTAGAGAGTTGTACTCCAAAATTTCTCCAGGAGTTCACACAGAGATCTTGCTTTTAAAACTTTGTGCAGTAGCAACTACCAGAGCTGAACTTATGCACATCTTATAACCCAGCTATTCTACTCCTAGGGATATACAAAAAAGAAATAAATACATATATATTTTTTTAATATATTTTTTTAACGTTTTTTATTTATTTCTAGGAGAGAGAGAGAGACAGCGTGAGCAGCGGAAGGTCAGAGAGAGGGAGTCACAGACTGAAACAGGCTCCAGGCTCTGAGCTGGCAGTCAGCACAGAGCCCGACGCGGGGCTCGAACCCACGAACCGTGAGATCGTGACCTAAGCGAAAGTCGGACGCTTAACCGACTAAGCCACCCAGGCGCCCCAATAAATACATATATTTACCAAAAAATGTATGGAGGAGTGATCTTAACTTTACTTACAATAATTAAAAACTGGAAATTACCCCCAAACTCATCAATATTTGACAATGAAATGAACAAACTGTGGCATATCTGTGCGATGAACTAATGAACTACTAAATAGCAGTATCAATGAGTCTTACACCATATTGCTGAGTGAAAAAAAGACACAAATGGTACATTCTTAGTGATTCTATTTATTTAAAATGTTAAAATAGGTAAAACTAATCTATGGTGAAAGAAATCAGGAAAGAGAAAGCCTGTTGGGCTTTGTAGTGACAGGAAGGGGTCAAGACAGGGCAACTTCTGGTGCTCTGATTAACATTATGTTCCACATTCTGGGTCCTGGCTGCTGGGAATATTCATGATGAGAAAATTCATTGAGTATGGCTTGTGCATTTCTTCTCTATATATATTAAACTGCAATAAAAAGATTTTTCAAAACTTGGATAGGGGACTCTTGCTATTTGCATTGTATAAGACTCTGTAAAGTCCCAGTACATTACTTTGGTAACCAGAGAAAATAGTACAGATGTCAGAAATAACTGTGGAGCAGTGGCTTACTTTGAACTCTTAATGGGGCTCTCTGTCCTGCTCCAATCTTCAAGCCTCCAGCCCTTACACCAGCCCTTACACCAGGCTTGGCTTTTCAAACACACTTTGTTTCTCCAGCTAATGTTTCCTGCAGCCCCGAGGCTTCCTGCCTTTAAGCGGCTCTCTCTTGCTGCTGCTGCTGCTGCTGCTGCTGCTGCTGCTGCTGCTGCTGCTGCTGGGAACTCCCTCGGCTTCTGCAAAGGCTTCTTAAGCCTATTTGGTTGATATATGGCTCTGAGAGCCTCTGAACTTGCAGCCACTTCTCAAAATTGGCTATCAGATGTTATCTGGCCCTCCTGTGCTCTGAAAAGCATCTACCTCTTCTCTTATGGGCTTCCCTTTTGGCCGCCTTTGCAATACTTTTTTTAAATAACATTCATTATAATCATGATGAGGTTAATAAATATTTGATGGTCATGAAGTGCTCACTAAGCACAGCTCACTGGGCCACACACTTTACAGACTTTGTCTCAGTTGTGCCTCATCACAACCTAGGAGGAAAGTGCCCTGACTACCTGTGTTGAAGATGCCTCAGGTGAGAGGTAAAGTCCAGGTGTTAACTCGGAAGTTCAACTCGCAAGCCTTCACTCTAACCACTAAACTACATTCCTGAATAAGTTCTTAGGGCCGGCCTTGTTCCCTCCTCTTCTCATATTCATCCTGAAATAACACTCTAGTGAGGAGATCATATGAAAAGGATCTTGGAAAGCAACTCCTTAGAGTCCAAAGGTTTCCTTCCCTGCCCCTAGTTTACATGTTCACGGGAGAAGATGTGAGGTCTCATCGGGGTACCGGGGAAGGAACAGGAGGGCAGGCTGACACAAACTTGGGTCTGAGTCCTGTCTCTGCTGTTTATTAGGGAGTGCCCTCATGCATGACACCTAACTTCTCTGAACCTGTCTGCTGTCTATAAAAGAGGTACTAACTATAGTCACCTCAAGGAGTTGCAAAAATGTTATGTGTGAATAAAGCCCAGGACCAAGCCCATGCTAGATATTCACTAAATGTTGGTAATCTTTAGCTACCTGTCCAAGGAACTGATTAGTGCCACAATGGGGATTGAAACCCAGTCTTCTGATTCCTAACCCACAATTCTTACCTTATATGCAAACAATGCTTCTCAACCACTGTTTTACATTTTAATGTCAACTTTGGTTTCAAAGGAGCATTAAAGGGTCTTAATAACTTTTTGTGGGTTTAAGAAGCCATGGAACAGCTAGCAACACTGTCCAAATATATCACTTCAACTTGGCTGGCCTAAATTCTTCCCTTTGTCAACAATCCCTGAAATTCAAGCTTCCTGCTTAAGAACGCTAATACTTCTGGGAATAGCTAAGCATCAAGAGGCTGGCATTCTTTGTTGGTGTAATTCATTTTAGCTTCATTCATTCAGCAAATATTTGTGGAGGCCTCCCTATCACCTTCCAAATGAAATCTGAAATGAAATCTCTGAAGGAGAGTACATTTTGATGGCATGAGGGTAGGGGAAGAAAAGAAGGAGAAATACTTCCAGAGCAAGGGCATTCGTTCATTCATCCAAAATATTGAGTGGGCACTTATAACGTGTCGAATAGTATTCTTGTCACCAGAGAACAGCGGACAAGCCTTATACACAGACCAACAATGTATGTATAAATAAACAGGATAACTTCAGAAATAAATCACACATACACACACACACACACACACACACGAATGATGTGCTAAAGAGTCATTGGGGAATTAATTTATATAGGCAGCTCAAGGAAGGTCAATCTGAGGAGGTAACATCTGGTAACAAGATCAGATGAGGCATACGTGAAAGCCCCGAGACAAAAATAAGCATAGTTTGTATGAGGAACCAAAAAGGACTCCCAGGGTGCAGCATAGTCATTGAAGGTTGAAGAGGGAGGCAAGGACCAGATTATGTAAGGCCTTGTAGACCATGGTGAACAATTTGGAAGCTAATGGAGTGTTTGGAGCAGGAAAGTGACATGATTTGATTTATGTTTTCTGAATATGACTCTACTATATACAGAAGAGGTGCTAGAGGGCA